TTCGAGCATTTGCTTTAAATTGAATATTTCAAAAGTTCATAATTCATCTTAAATAATAATTCAATTAGGAAAAATACAAAAAACAGCCTGACTTGCTCTAAACAATTAACATGCTCATTTCTTTGTTTCGTCTCCCTAAAACGAACTAAAGTATTTTTAAACCTTGGCTCAAGCTACGTGGAATACCCAGTATATTTAATGTAGTGCACAATGCATGCCAATACACACGTACACAAATTAAATAATGTATCTGTATGCATTGGACATATTCAAGACGATTCCAAACAAGTTTCACCACACGCCATAACAAATTGTTTATGGATGATTACGTTTTTGATTCATGATGTACATACATTCGTTTTCTTGCAGTTACATTGCGATAATTCGAAACATAATCAAATTATTTCGAAATATGCGAGAATTTTCATCACACACCTATAGATTACGTTTCACTAAATTCAGAATGCAGCCGGCTTTAAGAGGACCCCAAACGCAAGAAAAACACGCCTACATATTTGTGCAGCGAATTCCAGGCTGGTGCTCGTACAATGCTCTGACTTAGGCAAATAGAAGCCACAGAGCCGCAGTGAGCGATAATAAAAAATTAAAAAAACTTTTGGGCCGCGTTTCTTGTCGTTTCCTAAAGTATGTAACGAAAAGCTCGAATACCTTACAATATATATTACACTTGTGTGCAATAATGCTTCATAGTAACAGTTCACTAAAGTTATCTGAGCACTCAACTAAAAAAAAAAATAATTTGGGATCATTTTGTTCGAGACCATATTGTCCGGGACTATTTTGACCTACACCCGACCGTTATACAGGTATAATAAGAGCTCGGTTGGTTCGCAAAGCGAAGGTTAGAATTCCAATGTACACCGGAAACGGCACAAAATGTTTTCGTTTAACGTAAAAAAACAAGGGGTAATTGTGAGGTTATCATTTTTATTTTTCCGTGTGACACCAGAACGTTTTGCTCCGCTTGAGTGCCATCTACCTTTTAATGGAAACGGCCATGGGCAAGAGACATCGTTTGTCATTTTGAAACTATTTCCCCTATTACTACTTTACTTATTATTTGTTCTTTGCTGTGTATTGACTCGTAGTAAATCTATTCGTATTGTTGTAAATTTGCAGCAACTACCGCGCTGGCTTTGATGGCAAAATAGACGGCGCCATGCTCTGCAGTTCCTATTTTCTCGATTCTAAATAAGTTATCTCAGAGATAGAATACCTCTTAAAACAGCTACTGCAATAATTCATGCACTATGCTAATTATTATGAAGTTACCAACATCTATTCCTTCGTCAATAGGCTGTCACACAAAGTAGATCTGGGCAATTCATCGATTAATCTACCTATTACTTTTTTAACCGGTTAATCGGTAAAATTTTGACAAACCAAAAGAAAAAAAAGGTCACTCGCCTTCACCACATGGACGTGGACGAGTGCACCTGTATGAAGGGCAAACTTTAGGTTAAAAGTTTAGCTTAAAGTGAAATGTAGGGGCAAGATTTGCAACTCCTGAAAAGGCGCAGAAGGTCGTATGGGTCCTGGTTACTCCAACGCCGTTCATGTGTCCGTTTAGCGCAGCAGAGACTATTGTGAACATTCAGGGAAGGTCCGCTCTTGCCGTCGAATATCAACGAGCGTTCTTTGCCTCGTGCAACTGATGTAATAATCTGCGAGTGCGAGTGCCTTTGAACATGTTTTGGTCCACACATCGAGGATGATTCATTATTAAAATTGTATAAGGCGCCCCCAACCACGCGTTCAGCAAAACCAAACAAAAAATATTATTTTTGATTGTTTTACAACTATTATGCTTGAAAACGACCAACACCAATTAATAGTTTAAAGGGTGGCGATTAATCGAGTTAAAACTTTTATCGACGCCCAGCCACTACAGTAACAAGGGTTTAAGAGGCCATCATGGGCACCTAAAACTCACTCATTCAGACTAGAAAACAGTTGTGTGCCCGTTACCGAAAATAAGTAACGAAATAGCGTCACTCGTTACCTAATGAAAAGCTAACGCGTTACAAAGCTCTGTTACCATTTTGCGAATGTAACCAAGTGCCGGTGTCGTTACTTGCCATGACTAACAGACGTTACTTTTACGTTACTGGGTCGTTACTTTGTGTTTCACTGTTAGTATATGACTGTTAGTATGTGACTGTATAGCATCTCAACCACAAACCTCGCCACAAGTTTGTCAAACCGTTCTTGAGAAACAGGAACTTGGTGCACACGGTCAATCTTCATCTACCTCAGCAAGGGCGCGTCGGGACATCTCGGTCTTTCATTTCTTTGAAAGCACCTAAAACTCTGATAGCTTCTGTGAATGGAGGAACTGGCGGAAAATAAGAAAAAAAAATGACGACTGATACGAAACACTGCTGTTAACTTCTAGTTATCTGTAGCGTGGTACAATGAAATATTAACTAAACAAATTGCATCACGAATTAGGACAGACAAAACTGTCTATATAAATCGCAAATTTAAACGAATATTAAATAGGCGTGTTTATATACAGATGCCATGATTTATTTACCCTCCTTCTGAAATATACAAGTAAACTCAATTAAGCCGTTTTCGAAGTGTTTTTGCTAGCTTACAGTAATAAGCACTGTAAGATATAGCTGAAAAACTATGCGACTGACAAAACGATCTCTTAAGAAATGTGCTTTTTTTTTGGCTAACAAAACTTAACCCCGACACTTTTATGAAAAAAAAAAGTAAGTGCTGTTGAAAAATAACTTACCTTAATGTGCTTTTTAATATTAGAGTTCGACATCTCTGGTCTGCTCAGCAGCTTGAGTTTCGGCATTCAGACTAGACATTTAAACAGCAAATTGTCTGACCTTGTTTCCCTCAGTTCAAACATAGCACTTAGACCGGGCCATAACAACGGAGTTTCGGTGGCCGTTGCCACCTTTCACGAAAAGTCAGTGGGAGACTGCAGTAAAAGGGGCGTTTATAACAAACATTCTAAAACGGCCTTGTTGGTTACAGGCAGACGTTACATGACAGAGACAACTGTGCAGTACACGGACTGGTGACAATGAACGCACCTCATAGCCACGCCGGTTTTAGTAACGGTCCGGTTTAGGCTACACAAACAACAAAAAAAGGACACCGATCGCTTTTTATAACCAACAATTATAACCGAAAATGATTATGGGTGATTATAAACGAATTATAGCGCTGGCCATAATTTGATTATAATCACATGCGTACTCGTAGCATCTTTACGTGTGTATATGAAAAAGGAGGCGAGCGTTTATGAGCTCTCTAACCTATAAGTTTCTCTTTCACGGCCAAACACCTTTTTGTTTTTTTGACGCCGGCAGCAGCAGCAAAGTAAGGGCGAAGCAGACGAAAGCCATCGCTATCACTGCTACGAATGTGTGTCTCTAGCCTTCACACACAACCAGGAACTGCGAGAAGGAAAAGGCGGGCGCAGTGTCCAGCAATAGACGATTCGGTCTTTGAATGCCGCAGGGAGTTGGGAGCATGCTTTCTTGTGGAAGACTACGCTATTTATGTCTAACTGCGGTACAAAGGAGATGCCGTCTTTGGTGGTGACGGACTCTTTTGTCTAATCTTTGAGGCGCTATGGGAGAAAGGATGCCCAGAGGATTTGGTGAGAGGCGAAACTTGGGAACGAGAGTCGTTCTCCAGAGAGAAACCGCACCTTTGTACCACGGCGGCACGGATTCTAAAAGATGGTGACGTCTTTCTGGTGACAGTCGCCGTTCAATGCTGCAATAACCTTGCCACTTGTTTCGGGTCAAAGCGTGGGAACGTCAACGCTTCCAAACTTAGGGTTTATCCTTTCTGTTGTTCACAGAACGAGAATTTATTTGTTTTGGAGAAAAGGATGTAACCAGCTAGAGTAGCTAGGGACGCTGAGGAGAAATCCTTCAAGCGGCGGCAGACTATAGCCATCTGAACGGATGTCGTTTTCCAGAGAGACGGCTGGTCCTTCATGGTACGGTGACGGTGATTTTAGCAGTTTCTCTACAAAGGCTGCACCAAGGACGCTTAGTGGTTCCGTGCGGAATTGTAACCAGTACGTTAGTACGTTACTAAAAAAAGTAACGCGTTACCAGTAACGTCGTTACTAGTAACGCGTTAGTTCCAACAGTGGAGCATATAGACAAAGAAATCCTTGAACAATGCAAATATTAGAAAAGAAAGTAATTGGTGCTTATCACGACAAGCTAGAGAAACAAAGCTAATTAAAAAAAAACGGAGGAAAATGAAAGGAAGACTTAAACTAAAGCATGAGCAGAGTTACAATTTTCTGGTCATATATCCATAATATATACGTAATTGTTTATGTCAGCACAACGGTTCTTACAAAAAGGCAACGTGTATACTTAGAAAACAAAAAGAAAAAAACATGTTTATACCTTTTTGTGACTGCCTTCTATGCTATTACATAAGAAGCAATTTGTGTAATATAAAACGAGCTTTTTTGTAGCATGATAACGCTCCATATCCTTGGAAGCTGTTGAACACACGGGTTCGCCCTAATCCACATTGTAGAACATTTTGATTCTCCGACGGTGTCTTACATTCAAGTTTGTAACCACGCAGATGCGTTGACGCTGCTCTAGCATGGTATAGGGGTGGGTGTACCCTACACCTACTGTAATCTTTCAAATATCTCATAGTTCACGTACTACTACGTGACGGTATTGAGGCGGGTACGGCACCATTTTCACGATCGACTCGTATATGATTTTCGCTTATTTTTCCACGACGCAATAGAAAACGACCTTGGGATGATGGTAAAAAGAAAAAAAAAGTGGTTTATCTCTAACTAACGCATGCGCTAGCAGTTTTTGACTTCCAGCTGCGCACTAAAAAAAAGAAAAGAAAAATAGAGTATCAGGCTTGCCTATACTATTAAAGACAGCGGGAGTGGTGGGAGAGTTCAGTCGTACAGTTAGTACTTTTCCATTACTACCACCACTAACCGCCAAAAAATGTCGCTGGTTTTCTTTGCGATTGCCGGAGTTTCGATTTTTCGGTGTGGCAGCGCAACATCGAATTACCCTGAGAAGAATCCAGAGCTCGGAAAGTACCAAGATGCGTCTGCGGTATGTAGAAGTAACCAGCGTTTGAAATTAGCAACTAGTGGAGACTCGAATTTGTTTAATTACGAATAACTATATAAATATATATTACCAGGTTTATTTTACCCATAAATGAGTCAGCGTTAATTTCGTTCACTTATTTCCTACCTCGCGTGATAGATTGAAGTTATTTAATTTTGAATGCCCATCTCCTTGTAGCCTCGGCTGTGTCTGGAATTAAGGTAAAACGAAATATATTTATCTAAGTAAAAAAATTGAGGGTATTTTTTTTAAATGAGTTACATTTATGTGAAGCGAAACTGAGGTTAACAGATATGTGCGTTTATTGAACTAGCTTTGAGCCGCTGTACCGCGGCAACCTTTACATTGTTTTTTTAACATAATATGACACATTTCAGACTAATATCTTTTGGAAACGATGGACCACGAGATACACGCCGAATTTCAGCCAAAATTGGCTTAGTTTCTGTTTTTGAATTTAAATGTTTTTGAAAGAAAAAACAAAGCAAAATAAACCTTCTCAGTCGTTAAAGTGGTGCAAATATGCGAACTATACTGAAAAAAAGAAAATGGCTGCAGAAGCTACTATTGTTAGTTGTCTATGTATTGCGATAGCATTCGTCATGTCTAGCTTTTTTCTTTTTTACGAGGCCATGGAGGACGTCGAGGACGGCGTCCTAGAGGACGACGTTCAGAAAGACGTCTAGAACAGCCTCAAGGACGACGTCTAGGACGACCTCAAGGGCGACCTATAGGACAACCTCTAGGGCCTAGAGACCTAGAGGTTATATATATATATATATATATATATATATATATATATATATATATATATTGTGGGGGAAGATGGGGGGGGGGGGGGGGGGGGGGGAGACAACGACGGTGCAGTGGCGCGCGCGACCATCATGCGCCAGGCTCCACGGGCCAGCTCGGCCTCCATAAATCATTCTATCTTCTCCCTTTCATCACCTGTCTTGTCCTCTATGCAGCCGACCGAATCACTCTAACATTATATATATTTTTTCCCCGCAAAATCTAGCGGGGAAAATGAATTGGTTTGTAGGGCCCGTGACGTTAGGTCACGGGACATAAAATTTCCCGCTAAATTTAGGGGGTAAACTGAATCGGTGTACAGGTCATGTGACGTCAATTTTTCCGCTAAATTCAGCGGAGAAACTGCGTATTAGGAGGCCAGAAAAGTCCACGAAATCGGGGGGAGTAGCTAAAGAATGCTATCGCACTGAGACAAAATAACAGGAGAAAATTATGCAGCTAGAGCGCGATACAGTTAGCACAAACAAGCAACAGCCGATGGTTGTTATATTTTTTAATATAGTCACTCCAAGCTTAGAATACGCATGGCGTGGTTTAGTATGTTAACACGTACTGCGTCGTGGTTGGTCCTTAGGCGTGCTTATCGGCTAACGCGGCGATCTCATTGGCTGCGAAGCGCACGCTGTGTTTCTGAAGCTGTTAGTTACTATCGAACCAAGTGGCTGTCACTAAAACTACTGCTGTCTGGAAGAAAAGCTTCCACACGTTATCTCGGTTTTCACTGTGCAGATTGATAGCACATCAAACTGTGCGGGATAGAAAAATAAAACTTGTTATTTTTGACGAACAAATGCGGTTCTAAGGAATTTTTTACAGCGGAGCTGTTAAGTGCTTGTTTCCCCAGGATCGTGTCCGCCAGGAAATAGATGTCGACACAACACTCCCGACAGCTACCGCCATCTATGAGCGACGGCGGCAACCTTTCGAGCCTTTCCACTCTGGCTTGCCGACTTGCAGCCGACAATTACTTCATTCCCACCAGAGTACAGCTTCGCTGGTGTTCCTTTTTCTCTAGAGTGGAAAGGCTGAACGTTTGTTTCTGCTTTAAACTAAAAAAAAACCTGGTGAAATGAGTATTTTTGCAGACAGTCGCAGGTCGCACGTGTGGCTCACTTTTTTATCGTTGGTTTATAATCTACGTTATTTCAATCTTCTTTTCTGGAACGTTCTGGGTACAATAAAATGTCCTAATGTATTGAAATATATGTGAAGCGCTGTTCGTGATATGCTGAAATTAAATTATTGCTTTGTTCGTGAGTGGGCAGTCCCTGAATTAGCTCGTTACACTATTTTCTAAAATCATTCAGTTGTGTACCATTCACGTTTCAAAATTAACCGTTCAATATTGCAAACAAAGAAAATGGATGAATTATATTACTGTTTCCTTTCCTTTTTTAAACCTAAGCTTTTTTTTTTTTTGCGAGCTTCTGGGTATGCTATTTGCATTCTCAAATGTTTAGGAGTGTAAAGAAATTATTTGCAGGATCTATTTTTAGCTACTTAAATTTGGGAGATCATCAAAATACTGGAAGTTCCAATGTCCAAAATGCTACCTTCCTTCCCCAGATTCCTTCTAGGTAATTAAAAAGAAGTAATAATTAGTTTGAAACCGAAACTGCAGAGAGTTCCGTTTTCTTTAGCTTTCCCCGTCTATCCCTACCTTCTAAAGGTGACGTCAGGGGCAGAAAGCAATGCGGACGGAGGCAATCAACTATGCCTACGTCCCGCAGTGAAAAAACACGTGCGTTTGCGGTATCCGAGGTTAATACTGTAATTTGTGATAAAAATATTAACAGTAATAATACGCTTTGCGGGCACAAACCGGTACCTTGGAGTACCTTTTAGCCGTGCTCGGTGTTTTCGTCCAATTGCACGTTTTAATCCGTTCTCCTATCAGGAACCAGCGACGGTGCGGCAAAGCAAGGTTAGAGAGTTTTGAAAGAGAATGAAAGAATACGCATCCGACCTACGCCATGAGCCGCGTGCAAACCTATTTCTGATAAAGGTCGGACTAAAAGAAGAATGAAAACAATCGCAGCAACTGCTAAGCGAAGCAACACTGAGGTGCAGCGAAAGGCGGATATATATATATTCCATATATACAAGTTTTCTTTTTATAATTTTGCAGATTTGTTTAAAAAAAGCCGTGAAAGTTACACTTTTGCAGCTTGTGCAGGTGAGTTATACGACCTGGGGGACATTATGGATGGTTAATCTTTGCGGTAAGTCGGCTAACTAAAATTAATTAATTAACTTTTTAACTAATGAAAAGAGACAGATGGTTCCAATTAGAAACTTGATGAGCGTTACCGAAAACCACGAAATTATTCATTTTCAGAAAGACTTTCAGCGCGTGAGAAGTGCAGTAGTGCAATAAAGGTACCCCGCGTGGAGTAGGTGCAAGGCTAGCGGTAGCAGTAAGGCGCCGGCGCGATTTTTCTGTCTCTTATCTGGCCCCAGCCTTGTACCTGCTCCACGAGTGGTAACTTTTGCGCACTACTGCGCTTCTCACGCGCTCAGTCTTTTTAAAAATTTACTGATTTAGGGGTTTTGGATGACGCTCAGTAAATTTCTAATTAGAACCATAAGATTATTTTCACTAAATGAAAAGTTAATGAACAAATTTTAATTATTTAGCCGACTGATCGTTACGATTATCCCCATATTCTTTTTCCCCCTGGCGGCATAACTCACCTGAACAAACCGCGTAAGTGTAGCTTTTTAAGCTTTTTTAAACAAGTCTGTTAAGTTAAAAAACAAACAAAAACACCCTATATATATATATATATATATATATATATATATATATATATATATAAAGAGAGAGAGAGAGTGAGAGAGAGAGAAAGAAAATATATTGTAAGATGCCGCAGTATATATATAAAGTAATGAGGTCGCTCTTCGAAGCTTTGTATATGTTTTAGAGCATTTAGTTAGCCGGCGTTACGGCCTGAGTCAGGCCCATCTTTACCGGAAACCGGCGGATCGTCAGAGATATTTGGACTGCGACAGCTGCCACTCACGGTTCTGCAAAAATAAGATACCCTACAGCCAGGCTCATAGGTTTAAACGTCCATGTTCAAACAGCGACGATTTTAAAACAAACGAACTGCAACAAGGCATGTAGTTGCGCTAGTTTGTGGTACATACTGTTTGATGCAAACAGCGCAAAAAAAAAAAAGCGTAGTACCAGGACGAAGAAACACACCGACAGGGCGCTCCGATCAATTACGGAAAGTCCTGAAAGAACAGAAGTATCCCGAAAATATCATCAACGATGCGATCAATAAGGCACAGGCCCTTGACCGTAGCTTCTTGCTAAGTGAACTGAGCCCTCAGACAAAGGAGCGTCGGGCGAACATCGTGCTAACTTTTAACAATAAGTCTCCGAACGTCGCACCCATATTAAGAAAACATTTTAGCATTTTGTAGCAAAGCGAACGCCTCGCAAGAAGTATTCCTTCCGTTCTTCGAGTAGTCTACAGACGCTCACGCAATCTTAGGGACGCCATAGTTAGGTCCAAGACCATTTACACTGAAATCCCTGGCAGTCGCCTTTTCGGAAAAACAAATAGTGAGGTATCTCATCTACGTAATTCAAGGAAGCCTAAATTGCGGCACAAGTGATGTGATATACCTCCTGACAGGTGAAACCTTTGGTAACCAGTACGTGGAACAGACCAGCACACCTTTTGGATTGAGATCTAACAATCACAGAGCACATCTAAAATCATTTCCCAAACTCCCCCTTTCGAAACATATGGCTTCACCCATACACACATGTGACGTTACATTTTTTACAATCTAGCTTCTAAATTAACCGTGATCGCGGGAAAAGAGAATCTTGTCTTATCTACAAATTTAATTCCACCCGGGCTGAGATTAATGGAAATCCCGGTATAATGTCATCTGTGCATGCAATAATCTCACTTAATCCACTTGTAACGGAGTGAATGTAGCTAATTCAATCATATCAGTTCAAACTTTGCCTTTTCCTGTGTACCTTCCCGTATTACCCGTCGACGGCTTAGTATCGACGGGTCAACCTTCGACAGTTGCTTGCCACTTGTTCCTTTTTGAATGGTCTGGGACTGTCGTTTATTTTGCTCACTGTGTGCGTTTTTTTGTCTAAGTAGGGAAATTAAATTTGAGCGTTGGCCGAGCGCAATTGGCTTTCGTCGACTATTGTCGGTTACAAGTCAAGAAGGTAGGAGAAGCTCCTCCCACAAGCGTGATGCGCCCGTTTCCTATCTCTCCGCAGTCGAAAGAGTTCACTGGTTCAACGTTGGTCATAGCAACGGGCTGGGGTTGGCCGAGTAGAAAACGCTAACGTTAATAACTGAATATACTTGCCTAATCTTTCTTTCTATGCAATGGCAGTCGCCAAAGCAATTCGAGAAATATGAGCATCGTTCATCTTCTCAACTCGGAGCCAGAACTAGGAAGTTTAGTAAGTATCTGGTCAATTTGAGGCTAATTTTTTAAATGTTGCCTTGAAAACGTTAACATACACGTCAACAGCCTCATACTCTTTACTTTTATTACGCGAAGTTTTAGCGGCGCCACATACTCCAAGCGAAGAAAAGCGCCCCCTCCCCACTTCCCATAGCCAGCGTCATAGATGTCTCCGGTGCCCCCCTCGAACCCGTCTTCCGGCCGTAAACCGGAAAACGGTGCCGAGTTGTGCGGCGCGCCAAACTTAAATCTGTATCACTTTCTTCTTCTTTTTATTTTTAACAAAAACTAAGGCACCCGTAATAAAAAAAAAAAAATTGTAGAGCCCATTCATTTTACGTGAAGATAGAGGACCAGCGAAGCCGTTATCTGTCGGGAGAACTTTACGACAACTATACGACATCTTACGATTTACATATGATTGCAATGAAGACACGTATACGACAATTCGTTGTTTAATTGTATTTATTTAATTCTTAGTGAAATGTTTCGAGGCAAACATCGAGGACAGTTTTTTTTTTTTTTCGATTGAACCCAAGTCTTTTTATGAGCATCGCGGAAGCGAAAGAAGGTTAGACCGGCGCGTTCTGCCCTCAGCCTCGTCGCAGAGCGTTCTTAGCTCAGAAAAGTCAGGGACTGTAAATGATAGCAAGGCATCAGGACTTCACTATCTAATACTGCCAAGGAAGGCTAACTCACGCGGGTTGCCCCGTTTTTATTTATACTCGCCACGAACAATCGGAAGGAAGGAGCTCCGTAGAAACGGGCGTTTTTTGTTAGCATTTTTTTTTTCAGATCGTAGCACGTAACAGCTTCGCTGTAAAATTGTTTTCTGATCTTTATTGTGCAATGCCACCCCGCGACTAGGGGAGGAGTGAAAAGGGGCTTTCTGTGACCCCCTTGCCACGTGACGCTGCAGTTCTCGAGTAATTTGAACTCTTGATCCGCATTGTATCTCTTGAATCTCGCCTGGCAAGTCAAGAGATCTAACACGTCAAAAAATTTATTGTTGAACCATCTGAGCCTTGGGGCCTTTTGACTCGTTCGACCTCCTGACTCACCATGGATCTTTTGACTCGTTGGATGTCTTGACACGTTGGACCTCTTGACCCATGGACCTGCTTTTAATTCCAATGGAAACCTACAGGTTTTTCCACTCACCGAGACCTGGCACATTGTGTACAGAAACTACGAGGACGACCCGGCATTTGGTACTTCCAAGTGCTTGAGGTTCGCTCAGGTGCAACCCGAAAAAGATGGTGCATATCCTGTCGTAGCTCTGTACGGAACAGACAACCAGTCGGCGTAAGTATAACCTGATGAGACGGCTGAACCTTGACGAACTTTTGATAACCCGAAATATTTTGTCAGCGTCGACTATAGTCACTAGCAGTTTAAGAAACACAGGACGTAGCTTTCCATGCCCACGTTTCTTCACTTATGATTGGTTCTTTGGGCGTTCTTATCGTCTGGTGCGGCAATCGCATTGACTTCGGAGGGATAATGAGATTCGCGAAACTGGCAACGCCCCTTTCGTTTTTTTTCCTAATCTCTCAGTGAATATAAGTGACAAAGATGAAAGAGCGTGTTGGTGAAAATACAGGAGTCAAAGAAAGAATAAAAACACTTAGGGACAAGGACAGTACAGTTCTTTCAACTAGCAACACACATTTACTGGTGTCTCCTTCAATAGTGCTATCTCCTTCCCAACGTTTGAGACTAAAGAGGAAGATGCGGAAATTAATATATATACTCCCGGAAAAAACACAAATTCACACCCAATACACTAGAAGATAAAGAATTCAGAAAGAAAGAAAAAAAAAACACTATTGACAAATTGAGATAAAGTGCCCTTTGGCTAATCCAGCTCTGGTTTCAGGTAGTTGATCTCATTTCTGGACAAGGCGAGAGAAGGGGCAGCGATGTTGTGATCGTCATGGGCTATCTTGTATACCTCAATGATCTCTCGGCCGAGCTTGTTCTTATGTCTGCCAATCGTGCAGGTGTCCTGGAACCGGGCTTCACCCTATAGTGGTTCATCAACGCCTCTGTACGAACTGTGAAGCCCGGTTCCAGGACACCTGCACGATTGGCAGACATAAGAACAAGCTCGGCCGAGAGATCATTGAGGTATACAAGATAGCCCATGACGATCACAACATCGCTGCCCCTTCTCTCGCCTTGTCCAGAAATGAGATCAACTACCTGAAACCAGAGCTGGATTAGCCAAAGGGCACTTTATCTCAATTTGTCAATAGTGTTTTTCTTTTTTCTTTCTTTCTGAATTCTTTATCTTCTAGTGTATTGGGTGTGAATTTGTGTTTTTTCCGGGTGTATATATATTAATTTGCGCATCTTCCTCTTTAGTCTCAAACGTTGGGAAGGAGATAGCACTATTGAAGGAGACACCAGTAAATGTGTGTTGCTAGTGGAAAGAACTGTACTGTCCTTATCCCTAAGTGTTTTTATTCTTTCTTTGACTCCTGAATATAAGTTTTTCCGCGAAAAACGAACGTCGCACATTCAAAACAAAAATATTTTGCTGATTTGCAAATGTCGCATCCCTGGGCACCTATAAAGATTTTCTAATAAAAGAAACCTTACAAATTCAGATAAGGAAATTGGACATCTTTATTATTATGTTAGAATGCTCTTGTTCACTATATAGGGTGTCCCAAGTCACGAATCTCGATCTAAAGTGGACCATAAAAATTGACGCCTGCACGTAACAATCTAAACTTTTCGTCAGAGGTGTATTTCACAGGTCGCTTGTTTTCTGTGAAATTAGGAAGCGTAGCTCCCTTTCTGTGAAAAATAGGGCCAAGAAACTTGCCAGGGTCAACGGCGGGCGGCGACGGAGACGACCAAGTCGAAAGGAGGGCGCTTGTCGCTCGTATTGATAGATGGCGCTACCTCGTTATCGAGATAGGTCGCGTACACCATGGTTTATTGGAATGAACATATCTTTTTGTAATGCAGCTTTGGTTAAAAAATAACAGCGGTCAATAAAAGCAAAGCTTAAAGTAAAAAGAAAAGGCGTTTGCACAACAAGGGCGCTTTTGCTGCCAACGGATTTCGTATGCGTGTCGTCTGCCTTCTTTGGCTGGTCAGCTTCACCTTCCGACGCTGCTCCCGACGCCATCTATGAATACGCGCGCCAAACGCGCCCCGCAACTCAATTTGGTCATCTGCGTTGCCTCCTGCCGTTGACCCTGGCAAGTTTCTGGGCCCTATTTATTACAACAAGGTAGCTATGCATTCTAATTTTACAAGAAAAAAAACAAAAAAAAAAAAAAACCCTGTGAAATACACTTTTGACTAAAAGTTTAGATTGCAACGGTCAGACGTCGATGTTTACGGTCCATTTTAGATCAAGCCTGGTGACTTGGGATAACCTATGGGTGACTTCATCTGAACTCAAACACACATTTTGGGTCGAATTTTTAATTTTTCTTTGAATACATGTTATCGGGCAATTTCTATGAAAAAGAAGACGGAAACGGCAAGTTTGTCGGATATTTTGTTCTCAAGTTATGGACCGTTGAAGCGGCCAAGGTGGAAACTGTCGTTTTTGCAGCTTATCGAGGGTGCCATATTTCACTCCATCCCGTTTGCTCACTTTTTACGCTACATGATTATAACTTTTTGGGAACACTCTCGAGATACGCTTTTTTATGCTTATTAAGCGTCTAAGTCATAACATTCTTAATGCATTTTTTTTTATTTGTCAAACCGCCTCTCTGCGACGATATTTGTCGAAGTTCAGCAAGCTGTGCTGTCTGACCTAATCAACATATCTTTATGATCTTCACATCACCGTAAAGCTCCAATTAAGCGCTTTCTTTCGACTATAATTTCAATGTTGTGCACTAAATATATAGTGCGATATATGTGCATGAAAAACGGATATTTCGAAAAAATAGCAAGTTTGGAATGGAGTTTCTAAGAAATCCTACCTTTTATTTTTTATTTACAGTTAGGTAATATAGTAGCCTATCAGGAACTACCAAGAGAAATTGTAACATACTGTTTGTATGGCCGCTATTAAGACTCGAATCTCGTGCGATGAACGTTTTGAATGAGAGTTCGCACAGGCGCTCTGTTGAGCAGAATGTTGACCTATGTAAGGTTTTCTATTTATCGTTAGCAGTTGTCTCAATATCCAACCATAAACATGAATAAAATTTGGAGTAGTGCACTTAAAAAAAGTTTAGAAATCCGTATCAACAAGTGCGAGCACAGCGCTTACTTCCTCCCGATTCGGGGCAATGCAGATTGTTTGAGAATTCCTCTGGGGCCTTTTTGCTTTCGGCTTTGAGTTTGAAATACCGAACTTGATATGTAATTGTCATATTTTCTTATGTCAAACAGATATGCAGTGCATATACATATGGGTGTATATGGGCCTCTAATAAATCTGGTGATAAGCACTTTCCTATCAACTATAGGCCCATCTCGCTAACCAGTGTTCCCTGTAAAGTTATAGAACATATAATTTATACACAACTTGTTAACTTCCTAGAGTCCAATTCATTTTTTCCCCAAATCAACATGGGTTTAGGAAATCCTGGTCCTGTGAGACACAGCTACTGTCAATCACTAACGATTTTCATTCAGCATTTGATCAGGGATCTCAGGTGGACTGCATATTCTTAGATTTTGCCAAAGCGTTCGACAAGGTATCGCATAGACTTTTATTACATAAATTAAGTAAACTCAACATTGATTCTAACGTGTTTAACTGGTTGGTATCATTTTTAACAAATCGCTCGCAATTCGTAACATGTGACGGCATCAACTCCTCCTCCGCACCCGTCACTTCCGGCGTACCCCAAGGATCAGTTTTGGGGCCTCTACTTTTCTTGATCTATATTAATGACTTGCATGAGATGGTTTCTTCTTCAATTAAACTCTTTGCTGATGATTGTGCTATTTATCGTGTAATAACTAATGATTCGGACTCGCAAAAACTACAACATGACCTCGACTCCCTATTTAGATGGTGCAAACTCTGGTCAATGGAGCTTAACATTAACAAATGTAAAATCATGCGCATAGTCCGCAAAGTTAAATTTACTACCGCTTATAACATTCACAACATACTCCTGGAACTTGTGACCTCCTACAAGTACATAGGTGTGATCTTAAGTGACGACCTTTCCTGGAAACTTAATATTAACTATGTGATTAACAACGCTAACCGAATGCTTGGCTTTCTCAAACGTAACTTTCCTTTAGGTCCATCGTCATTAAAACTGACTCTTTATAAAACACTAGTTAGGCCTAAGCTCGAATATGCAGCTTCCATCTGGGATCCCTCAACCATCTACCTCATCAACTCACTTGAAGGAGTTCAGAACAGAGCTACACGTTTTATACTGGCCAACTATAACCGCACAGCAAGCGTAACGTCAATGAAAAGCACATTATTACTTCCGACCCTCGCACATCGTCGCATGGTTTTTCGAATCTCCCTTTTTCATAAAATCTATCACCATGTTCCTTACCTAAAAGCCCAAATGATAATCCCCCCATATTTTATTTCAGCACGCCTTGATCATCGTCAAAAAGTTGGTGTACCATTTTGTCACTCTAACGTTTATTACGCTTCTTTTATTCCAAGAACTTCTAACGATTGGAACCGCTTACCTGCATCTCTCACATCAATAACTGACCACGCTCTTTTTTGTAATTCTATTACCAACCTCATGTTCCCTATTGTTTGAGTTGTTTGAGATTTTGTTCACTGTTCCTTGTGTACTCTTATTGCTTCTATTCCCCACTCCCCTCTGTAATGCCTTTGTGCCCTGAGGGTAAAATAAATAAATAAATAAATATCAACTCAGGCACGGATTTGGGGCCGAATTTTTAATTTTGACGAATAAAATATATGTTTTGGGGAAATCCTTTCTGTGATAGGGAGTGCAAACCGCAAGTTCGGGCGATTTTTGTTCTCGAGTTATGGACATTTTAAGCAGCCGAGGCGCAAACTGACCTTTCACTCGCCTGTCGGAGGTGTCATGTTTCACTCCTTTCTACTTTTCGCCCCTTTTTCGGTAGTGCAGTGTAACGTTTTTGGGCCTCTCTCAGATTAGGGATTCTTTACGGTCAGTAATTGTATTGCGAATATTTATCTTCACTTTTGTTTTAAATATTGTCAAACGGTGTCCTTTTGACAATATTTGTCAAAGTTTGACCAGCTTTTCTGTGTGACCTATTTAATATATTGTAACATACTTAGTATGTTCAGAAAGCTAAGAGTATATTCTTTCTATTGATAACAAATTTAACGTTGTGCGTAAAAGAGAAAGGGCAGTGTATTCTCGTAAAGCAAGGACTATTTAAAAATATTGGCAAATTGGAGGTCCATTTTCTAAACAAAAAGCCACCTTTTATTTGGCTGATTTTCTTTCTCTAGCTAGCTATCGCAGTGTTTTATAAGGTAATATAAATATAAAATGTAATATTTTGTTTGTATGGCTGCTATCAGAGCTTAAAACGTGATTTTGTTTGAGTGTTTTGTCAGTAAATCAACTTACTCGCAAAAATACACTAATTCAAAATTGGCGCCTTTTATTTTTTTTAATAGATACATGTGAACACACTTATTCTCTGATAAATATTTTAACGCCATTATTTATATAAAATATATTTTAGAAAATTTGTCAATATGACGTTTTTGGACGATATTAGTGAAAGTTTATCAGCTCTTCCGTGTGATCTATATTAGGTGTCTTAGCATGTTTAGTATTTTCAGAAAGCTTAGAGTATATTCCTTCTAATGATAACAAATTTGATGTTGAGTGTAAAAGAGAAAGGACAGTATATTTTCGTAAAGCAAGGACTATTTCAAAAAAAAATTTCGAATCGGAGGTCGATTTTCTAAAAATCCTACCTTTTCTTTTGGCTAATGTTTTTCTGCAGCTACCTTTGCGGTGCTTTATAAAGTAAATTTATAAACCGAAAACGTACTATTTGGTTTGTATGGCTGCTATAAAAGCTTACATTTTGGTTTTTGTTGACTTGTCACCCAGTGATACAAGTGGCTCACAAAAATACACTAACTCTTAATTAACGCCTCGGAAATTTTTACTAACTACCTGTAAATTTCTTTAACAAAAGAAGATGCAAACGGCGAGTTATGCTAATAAAGCGTCTAGGTCATAATATGTTTAATGTTTTTTTTTCTTAATTGTCAAACCGCCCCTCTGCAACCATATTTGACAAAGTTCAGCAAGCTGCGCTGTGTGACCTAATCAATATATTTTTATGATCTTTGCGTTACCGTAAAGCTCCAACTAAGCTGTTTTTTGAGTATAATTTGAATATTTTGCGCTAAACGTATAACGCGGAACATTTGCCTGATAAACGAATATTTAGAAAGACTTGAAAGTTTGAAGTCGATTTTCTAAGAAAAAAACAACACCTTTCATTTTCTTCATTTTTTATTCACAGTTAGGTAATATAGTAATCTGTCAGGAACTACCAACCGAAATTATAGTATATTGTTTGTATGGCAGCTATTCGGACTCGAATCTCGTGCTATGAGATTTTTGAACGGGACTTCACATAGACGCTCACCTGAGCAGAATTTTGACCTATGTAAAGTTTTCTATTTAATGTTAGTACTTACCTCAATCTCTGAGCGCAAAAGCGAGTGAAGCAACAATATTTATCCTAACAATATTTCTTTACTTGGCACTGGCATGATTTGCAAGGTGTGTGAGCTTGGCCCTATATGTCGACAAAGAAGATACGAATACCATCTAGACTCCCGGAAAAACTTAAGTCAAGAGGAAAACGTCTAAGTAACCCGGCATGAATCACTGAAAAAAGAAATGAAACCTAAACACATGACTAACACATTTGAAGCCTTGCACGCTACGAAATGCTCGTTATTTTACGAAAGGGTTCGTATGTGCACAAAATAAACCATAATTCCTAAGCGCCAGACACAAAATCATAGGTATGTATATGCACTGCATATCTGCTGACCATAAGAAAATGTGATAATTATATATCAAGTTCAGTATTTCAAACTCAAAGCCGAAAGCACAAGGCACCACAGGAATTCTCTAACAATCTGCATTGCCCCGAATCGGGAGGAAGTAAGCGCTGTGCCCGCACTTGTTGATACGGACTTCTAAATGTTTTTAAGTGCACTACTCCAAATGTTATTAATGTTTATGGTTGGATATTGAGAGAACTGCTAACGATAAATAGAAAACCTTACATAGGTCAGCATTCTGCTCAGCAGAGCGCCTGTGCGAAGTCCCGTTCAAAACGCTCATAGCACGAGATTCGAGTCTTAATAGGGGTCATACAAACAATATAGCACAATTTCTGTTGGTAGTTCCTTATAAAATACTATATTACCTAACTCTGAATAAAAAAATAAAAGAAATAAAATATGCTTTTTTTTTTTAGAAAATCGACTACAAACTTGCTAGTTTTTCGAAATATCCGTTTTTAGGCACGTGTAGCGCATTATATATCCTTTGCAAAATATTGAAGTTATACTCAAAAGGAAGAACTTAATTGGAGCTTTGCGGTGATGTAAAGATAATAAAGGTACGATGATTAGGTCAGACAGCACAGCTTGCTGAACTTCGTCAAATATCGTCGCAGAGAGGCGGTTTGACAAATAAAAAAAAAAATTAAGAATCTTATGAACTAGAGGCTTAATTAGCATAAAAAAACATATGTCAAGAGTGCTCCCAAAAGTTATATTGATGTAGCGTAAAAAGTAAGTAAAGAGATGGAGTGAAATATGGTCACCCCCGATAAGCTGGAAAAACGACAGTTTCCACCGTGGCCGCTTCAACAGTCCATAACTAGAAAAAAAAAATCCGACGAACTTGCTGTTTGCGTCTTCTTTTATTATAGGAACTGCCCGGTCACATGTATTTTTTTCAATTAAAATTTCGACCTAAAATGTGTGACTGAGTTGAGATAAAATCACCCCTATATATAAATTTGAAGAATACTGCAGCGATAAAGCTCCTCAAATCATATCAGTCCAAAGGTTCTGGAGTATATGTAGCATTAATTTTTAAGCTTAGGGTTCTTTCGGCTTTATATATAACGAGCATCGCTATCGAGTCGATATCTCTTTGTGAACAGTGCAGAATGTTGTCTTTTGCAAATTCTCTAAGAATCAACATTTTTTTTTAAATCAGGGGCAAATGAAATTTTTAACACTTGACGGATAAAAGAGTGAATAAACGAGCGCTACGATGCAATTCTATTAACTGTTTTTTATTGCGGATAATCAATAATTTAATTGCAATGATTATGTTAGATTCTCGTCCAAAACTAATTTGTTTGCTAGATCAATTCGAATTTTAACTGAGATTTTTTGTATCAAGATCCCCTGTAATAAAATTATAAATTTTCTTTGTCAATTCACTTCCACGTAGTAATTTTTATTGTGTTTATTTTGTATATGTTGGTTGTACTTTGACTCTTTCCTGGATATTGGTTTTAATTTTGCCTGAGGGACTATTTCAATAACGCTGCCATGTTATCATGCTTATTCCGCAGTAGCGCGGTGATAACCCTCGACGCCAAAGAGGGATATACCATCAAGAATCACATGGTCTTTCATCCAGATGGTCGTAAGTATTCTTTAATTGATTATGAAAGTATAGAATATAGTGCCCTAAAAGTAAAACCAGAATTTTGTGATATATAAATGAAAACGGTCTCGACTTGATCATACCAATGTTTAACGGCAATATCCCCACTACGGTCTAACTCAGGCAGCACGTCTGAGAAATGCCTGACCTAGGTTTGGCACAAAGAGGGCCCTAAATTTTGCCTCATCTGAGTTTGCTTCAAGGTGTTAGTTAGTTACAAGGTACTTTTCCTTGTGCTAACTAGTCAGAAAAATGCAAAGCTTGACATCTCTCTGATTGGCTTCTCAATTGCCAATGCGTCATACATGAGCCGAAGGTGCTACGCGACAACCGAACAACAAGCCGCGGAAGCCTAATTCCGAAAATTGCTAACGCACTCAGGCCCAAACAAGCAAGGTGACAACCCAACTATCAAGCACGGAAGCCTAACTCTGACACTTGTTTGACAATTCGGGGCGAAAATACCAAGACACTTGCTAATAAATTCGAAGTTCGGTTATACTTTGGCTTTTTGGGCTTTCAGGACCCTACATTTCTAGATAAAAAAACTAATTTTTGGCCCAAACATTTGTAATAATAAGGACGTTTTATTTCTGAGTTGCAATGTTTACAGTTTCCGGCACACACTAAAAAAACTATATTCTCGACACATATATTGCAGAAGGTCAGCCCTTGCCCTTATATGTCTCTTACCTGGATCCTGGAAACTGTGGTGTCAACAGGAACGTTTACGCCAGTGGTACGACTACTTTTGACAAAGATACTTGCTTTCACAATAACAATGTATATATATATATATAATAAGTCATAGATGTGTACTCTCGGAGTTACTAATACGAATTAACTTTATGATTAGTATTAACAGACAAATGGTTACAATTAGAAACTTGCTACGCGTCTTCGAAAATCACTAAATCAAACTTCTAAAATGATTTTAAGCGCGTGAAGAGCGTAGTAGTGCGCTAAAGTTACCACTCGCGGAGCAGTTACAAGGCGATTGTGGTAGGGCGGCCGCGCGATTTCGTCGTCCCTTATGAGAGCCTCAGCCTTTTACCTGCGCCACGAGTAATAACTTTAGCGCACTACTACAGTTCTCACACGCTAAAAGTCTTTCTGAAAATTATTGATTTAGGAGTTTTCGATGACGCTCAGCTAGTTTCAAATTAGAACCATATGTCTATTTTCTATAATTAACATTTTAATTAGTCAATTTTAATTATTGAGCAGAATAATTAGTAAGTATCGCGCATTTCCTGACGTCCGCGACCACGAGTAATACGGTCACTAGAAAATTATCCTTTTACCTCGAATACAGAAATTTTAGGAATATTTGTCATTCTTACGTGAAACTCCCTGTATATATACGTATATTTACACTTTGTAAATTGAAGTCGTTAGGAGCCCGAGATACCGAAACTTGGATGAAAAAAGGACGGAAGTCCCACTACGAAGTGACGTTGGGCTTCGCCGTTACTGCGGGTAGCGGGTCATCGCGAACCACCTTCAGATACGGTAGGGCGAACCTTCGATAGCAGCAGGTAGTCTTACCATAGCGCTATCACAGGTTGCCGTACAGAGCGGCATTTTACTAGAGGCTCGCCTTGTGACTTGCAAGATCTTCGGCGCGCGCCAGGAGCCGTACTGTGACCACAGTAACCAGCGATATGGCTCTTCTAAAACTTCCTAGTGTACATCTGTAACACAATTTTGTCCAGTAATTTTCTATTGCGGTTTAGGGAGGTTGGGAGGTGGTATGAGTAAATGACAAGATTTGCTTTATAAATTATAAACGTGCAATATTTATTGTTAAATGATGATGTGCAGCCTCACTTGACGGCTACTATAAAAGCATTCGCGCAGCGTCTAACGCACATGTTCAATCGCCGCAGAAAACGCATGCGCCCTACTCGTTCCCGAGAGCAAACTGGGAGAGGACACCACCTGCTGCGATTTCGTGTACGCCCTGCTGTGCGGTGCCACAAAATACCAGATCCACGACGACAGCTGCACGAATCAAGGCTGACAAAGGAATTCCAATATTTACTCTTGAAACGTAATTCTGCTCAGATCAAAAAGAAATCGAGAATAATGGTTTATCTAGGTGCGAGAAGTGCCGGTGAGCGGAGAACACTGAATTTAACTACAGAAAAAAAAGAGCCTATAAACACTGAAAACTTAAGAACCGTAGGGTGAAGTCTGCTTACGTTATTCATCTTGCTTCCTGATTTATTCGTTGAAGTTTCTATCTACTAATGGCCTATTCTCATTGGCTCACCACGCCTTGCGTTTATTAGGTTGAGCAGTCGGTGACGATATGTTGCTCCTTAAAGTTTCAAGAGACGCGCGGTTTTAAAGATCGCTCTCTGCTAGCTTCTTTGGTTTGTTACCTTTGTTATGTATTTGATCAGCAGCCTAAACAGGAATGTATCCGCCTTCACTTTTTGATGTTAAAAGTTATCACATTTAACGACACCACGCACATCAGAGCCAGTATTTCGAACCAAGGTGGTGGGAATGTTTCAATGGCTTGCGCTCATATGCCAATAAAATATTCGATGTGTGCGGCGTTGTATTTGAATTTTCTCGGCGTGGGTTGGGGTATTGAGGTTGATTTGCGTCAACCAACCGAAAAAAGAATAAACTATACCGCCGTGTAACTGTTTCCGAATACCCAGGTTACGCGATAAACACTAATCCCATGACGAATCAACAGCCAAAATGTTATTGAGATGCCAAGTGCTGCTGGGACTGGCCTCGGGATAAGCTGCCGAACGTTCAGAGAACTGATCGACAGTCTGTACTCTGCTTCAGCTTACGATGAACTTTAGATGACGCTACGAGGCATGGGAGTCAATCCAATGCAGCGTAAGTGTCACGTGACCTTAAAGAAGGGCACAGCGGAGCTCGGGGTGCGTTGTCACGTGACACGTTCACAGCGCTGGATTGTTTGGGACGGCTCGTTAGCGTCCACTGCAGTTCATCGTAAGGTAAAATGGAGTGTATTTTGAGGAGTCAGACCCTCCGCACTGTAAAGGAGCTTCCCCCAGATGCATTTCCTCCTTGGGCAATGCTTTTCTTTTGAGCTTCAGAGTGCCGTCGCTGTCGCCGTCGTCGCCGTAACGGCGCGTTGCATTATGGGAAACGTCCCATAATGAAACGTGCGTGTCTCAGTCGTGACCCGCTCGTTGCATTATGAAACGGTTCCCATATTGACGTCACACGTGACGTCACGACGTTCCCGTGCGTTGCCTTATGGGAAATGTCCCATAATGCAACGCGCAGGTCACGAGTGAGACACACGCGTTGCATTATGGGAACTATGGGACGTTTCCCACATTGACGTCACACGTGACGTCAAGAGTGACGTCACGAGCGTGCCACGCGTTGCATCATGGGACGCGTGATGTCGCGGTCACTCGTGAAGGTCATGATGAAGGTCACGACCTTTACTTTTCGAGGCCTTCACGAGTGACGTTACGAGGGGGGTGACTGGGAGGGGGAGAAGAATGAGAAGAGGAGGAAGGAGGAGAATGGAGGAGGGGAGAGGAAGGAGGAAGGGGAGGAGGAGAAGAGGAGGAGGGAGGGGAAGGGGAGGAGACGACGAGAAGGAAAGGGTACGGAGGAGGAGGATGGGCATACCCTCCTTTCCGTACCCTCCCTCCTCTTCCTCAAGTGCTGCGCTCTAATTCGGCATTACAGGACGGTTCTAAACGTCTTTAAATTTTTTCTTCTTCTTTCACGGTACTATAATCTTTGCATTATATAGCTGTGTTTACATGAATGCGACCGTAGCGCATCAAATCCAGATTTGACTTTTTTGATTGGTAGCAGATCGGAAGAAGAGGAAGAAGTTGGCAGAAAGGCTGCTTGCGATTGATCCCTGCTTGCTACAATCGCATTCATGTAGACGTAGCAATATCGTGTATTACCTTCGTTTTTTTTTTATCTGTTGAGGTGTGTCGCATGTTTGAACTCAATAATCAACGAGGGATTGCCTTCTTCCGAAAAGAGTCGTCTGAAGTGTGCGGTCTCTTTTTAGTGAGACAACTATAAATATCCTGTTTGTGAATACTTTTTTACGTAGTTATATACGGGAACGCAAAGAGTTACCATTTTATTAATGACCAGCACTTAATAGGGGTGGAATCGTACTAGAGAGGAAGTAAAATACTATTTTAGACTGCCGCTAACCAGATCATTTCTTTTTTGTCACTTTTGGGAGAGAATAAACTTGTTTCCATTCAAACTCCCAGATAATCAGTGCGTATGTTCGTCTCTAAATATCATTGTTCCGACATCTGTGTGGCGTACTAAATACAGAGATGACTCATAATGGAGAGAGCGTTTTAGGGTAAGATAGAGCCGTTACTGCTGCACGGCTGCCCACGGTTATTTTTACTACTTCTCAAAGACATTCCGAGAGGAAAATATGCCGCCCCATTCTGCAACAAAAGTCAGACTCGTCAGCTTCTGTGGTGTCTAAGCTCAATTCGCGATATTATCGCTGGCCCAAAGCCTCCTAAGCCCCCACTGTCGGCTCCTAATACTCTGAATGGTAAAGGTTATTAATAAAAAAAAAAGCGAAGATATCAATTACAATAATGCTGTTTTTTTACGTTGATGCCGAATAGTGCGAGAGCGTTGGGAATGAAATTACTTCGTAGTAAAATTATACAAAAACACACACACACACACACACACTAAGGTCGGAATGAGATAGCCACTGTCTTTTTCCCAAGTGATTGACTAATTTTCGCCTTCTGTGGGTTGTATTTTTTTGGGATGCAGTGCAGTGTACAAAAAATATTGACTGTGTCAAGAACAAGACTGTTTTCAACTATACGTAGTTTCTCCGCAAAGGACACTTAACTCTCAAAAAATTTTTTTTTTGACTTTCAATTGCGTTCGGCGCCTCAGTATAACAGACGCATGTTTCAGTGTCACTCCTTATCCAAATTGTGTCTCGCCGCGTAAGCCTATAGTGCTAAAAAGAGTTTTTCTTTTTTTTTTTTTTTTGCTTGGAAATTTTATTTTGTGACATACTTGCCCTATTTATGAACTTTGAAATACCTTTCTAAGTTAAGTGTCCTTCGAAGTCAGAGCGCAGCCGACGATACGAGCCCGTTGGGTCAGTCACGCAGCTTCAAAAGCGCAAAGTCCCGGCGTTGATCGTCTTTCTCTGCGTGTGCACGCACTTATCAGTTAAACTAATCAAGTGCACTGAATGCGCGTGGACCTTGCGCGTTTTGTACGCGTGTTTGTATTTATATTTGCAAAATCCTTCCACTACTCTGCAACGTATGTCGAAACGAAGTATAGAGGTGGTGGGGTAGAAAATAAATGCTCTTAGCGCTGCTGTCGACTGCTGGAGGCTCTGGCTAGGTGACGGAAGTCGCCGTTCAATTAAGATAGTTCAATTGGACCCATCTATTCATCGAAGGAGAAAGGGACTGCGGCTAAATGGGTGCTGTCTGCTCTGTTATAAAAAAAAAACAACAACAACAGCAACAAGCGTAAGTGATACGTTTGCGGCAGTCCTCTGACCGCGCTCCTCTGTGTCATCTAGGTGACTTTACACTACGCCAGTGCTATACAGCGGAACGTCTCCGGGCCCCAAGAGCACGTGCGCCTCATCTGTCACTACAGCGTACCTATTCTAGAATACCGCAAGTGAAGTAACACACCGAGTAACGCGCAATACCAGATTTGATAGAAAATACCAAATTTCAATTTTAACACTTTAATACGAAATTTGCACTTCTGAAAACCTTATACTTCTTAGTATGTACATTCTAAAAAAAGCCCGTGCGTCTACTTTCCCGCACAACACTCGGACAACCAATCACCGCAACTTACGGAGGTAGCTCAGCGAATGACGATGACGAAACATGTTTAGACCAAAAACGCAGCCTGAGCTGCGACATTAAGCAATGCAAGCGTGACATTTTCCATTGCCTAATGTCACAATTCAGACTGCGTTTTTGGTCTAAACATATTTCGTCATCGACATTCGCTGAACTACCTCCGTAAGTTGCGGTGATTGGCTCTTCGAGTGTTCAGCGGGACAGTAGACGCACGGGCTTTTTTTTAGAGTGTTTGGACAACTGCTCAGCCGAGCGGCCATACCCGAATGTCCGGACTCCACGCAGTATTTGGCCATCTGTGAGCAGCAAGCTGAACTGTGTTCGTGAGGAGCCGCTAACTTGAAGGAAAGCCACCAGATGTCGCGAGAAGCCTAACAAAGTAGAAGTTTCAGAGAACTATGCATCTATTGGAACCATTCATTGGAAGTTCTGATTAGGTGCGCTTTATGTTACTGTAACTAGGCAAGCTCTTCCTATTAGGTGTAATCTTTTGTGTACAGTGTTAGGACGCAGCCTCACGGGGCCGTGCGCATTATGGTACAATTAGTTCTAGTCTTAATTAAAACGGTAATTGCTGATTCTGATTTCCGCCATATTGAATATAATGCTCATGGTGCAACCATAGTCCCGTAGAAAATGTTGATCTAAATAAGAAAGCAATAACAAAACCTAAACTTATTGTTTAAAACATCGTCTGTGCGAGCAATATACACGATACAAAGACGCTCTTTCATATTCAAGCTTTAGGCAAGTTCTAAAACCTATAAGGTTTCCCTGAAGCTTATTTTTATCCCTCATGCGCATCAAACTTCAAGAAAGGTTTTTATGGGCAATGTGTTATGTCTTGAAAACTTTTAAAAAATGAAAGAAGCTTTCAAAATGTAGTTTTTATTATTTTCCATTTGATCATGATATTTTATTTATTATTTTTCATTTATTATTACACTTTCCTGCAGGATGCGCCTAAACTCAGATATATCCGTCAGTGTGGCTCTTTATCAGTTTAAAGCAAGTAAAAAAAATTAAAAAGTACCCCACATAAGAAGGGCAGTCCCATTGAAAGCGCTACCAACAACGACATTCTACTAATTTCGCTCGTTTAAAAAGAGAGCGTATTTCACTGCTATCAACTAATGATTTAACGCCCCGTAGTTTACTG